TACACTTGCACTTTTTTTTTTTTTTTTTGTCTTTTAATTTCCTGATTTTCAGGCATGATTTCACATTCTTAGTGGGGACTCCAAAGTGGGGATTTAGGGGGGATGCATTTTTTTTCCCTGATTTATTCATTTAATAAGCAAATGACCAGACAAAGCTCTACCTAGTTTTCTCCCTAAAAATGTGTTAGTTGAAAATACTAAGGCCAACACAATTCAGTTTAGCACACAGGCCAGCGCAGAAATGACCATAAATCCACATCAACATCCTTCAGTGGGTTTCCAGACATCCTGCCATAGGCTGTGGCTTGCCATCAGCTCTTGCAGCAGTGATGTGCTGACTGGCAAGGCTTTGTCTCCTCTTTTTGGCACAACATGTGGTGTAGGAGTGCTTTGCTGGCATATTTGAAAGGGCTCCAGCTTCCCAATGAGGTGGGCCAAAGGATCCTGTCATTTAAGGCTGCTCTAGCAAGTGACACCTTCCTAGAAACCATGTTAACAATGTTGTTAAAATCCTGATCCAAACAAGAGCACCAGCTACCTAAGCTGATTCCACGCTGATGTGCATGAATGCATTTCCGAAAGCAAGAGCCAGCTTTTCCATGCGCGTGCATCTCTAACACAGGCTGCGAGTTGCCCAATAAATATTCATTGGGTTAAATAATATGTTTTGGCTCTCAGCTCTTCTAATTTGTTAACAGGAACAGCAGATATGGAATTGGAGTTTCCACAAGCTTTACTTACATAAGGAATCCCAGTGACTGATTGATGTCATTCAACCAGACCGCCTCACATGATTAGATCTTGTGCAAGCAGCCTCTTATTTCTTTCTGATTTGTGCTCCAGGCTGAAAATTAGCATTTGGCAAGCCTCAAACAACCTGATTTGAATAACCAGAATTTTGGAACATGTTTCTTGACGCTTTAAATCTGCCAGCGAAATCTCAGGAGAGTTGGTATGCCAGCTGCGTCGACCTCCCTACAGCCAATTTCCACGAATGCCACGTTACAAGGATGAGTTTTTCCAAGGCCAGAAGCAAGGTGGTGGATACTCTGATGAAGCTTCAGATCCGTCCTCAAATTTGCATAGCTCAAGCTTAACTGAAATTCACGAGTATCTTAGAAAAACAGATGTCCCACTTGTCTTTGCTGAAACATCTGTAAAGCTCCAACCACTGTTAAAGACAAACAATTCCTAGGATGGGGAATGAACAGAGAGCACTGCAGCTTTAGAATAGTCTTATATCAAAATAAGGGAAGATTAGCCTATTTTGCATATAATTTTTAGTTTGGTTATTATTAAGCAAAAAAAAGGGACAAAAAGGAGCAATTGTTTTTAAATACCTTTAATGTTATGAAACGTATTACCTTTATCTCATTTAAATCCTTGCTAAATCTTAACATCAACAATAATAAAAGGTTTTTAAAAATCTTTTCTTTAATTGCACAATATTTTCTTTCTTTTATTCTAGGGCAGAAAACAGAGTCTTCATAAATAAAACACTGACATGGAGTACAAGACAAACCCAGGCCAGACAGTTTGCTAAAAAATTTGTGAAAAGTGCATCTGGCTGGCTCAGGACTCCCTGAGTAAGGTAGACATTCTCCCCCACACCTCTTGGCTGTCTTTTCTCTCACAAGAAAATCTGAAATAAAGGTTGCCTTTGTCATTTTAAAGGTATCAGATATACATGTCGCAGTGTGAGGTAGGAACCAGTTCTTAGGGGTTGTATCTAATTTGGGCCTCACCTCCTTGTTGTTGCCCCTCCTTTTGCTAGGCAAAAAGATAGATTTAAGTGCAAAACAAAGCCGTAGCTATCTATGAAAGTGGACTACTGTTTACTTTCAATTGCAATTCATCAGCTGATTATAAGGAAGGACACTTGTCATTTTCACCTTCAAAGCATTAAGAGGCACAAAAAACTAGATGTAATTTTTTTCCAAAGGATGCTTTTGAAAAAAGCGGACCTGAACACTGGAAGAAAACAGTGTTTCCAGGTAACCTAATCCAAAACTCCGTTAAGTTTCTATTTTGTAACTGAAACTGGCCCAGAGTAAATTCTTAGCTGAAAAATAGCAGCAACTTGAAAGTGCATAAATTAGAAACTTAATAAATTAAGGAAACTGATTTGCTGCACCTAACTATCCTCCTAACTGTCCCAAGATCCTTTTCATTTTATAACGGACATGGAAAATCAGAATAAAGATACTACTATCTCAAAACCAAAACTAAACTAAAATCTTCAGTAAATTTCTTTCCGAGATAAGGCGTCTTTTTTACTGAAGTTCAAAAGATATCTAGAAAGACTGGAAGGAGCGTAATAATAAGACAACCCCCTCCTCTACCACCAAGGCTTAAGCATAGGCTTTTCCATCCATATGTAGACTCGTAATTCAGGGTGTGAGTTTTCAAGAAATGCCACGTCACTGGATGCCCCTCCTCCAGCAATCTGTGAGATGTTATGCACAAAAGTAGGAAAAGTGCTTAATCAGTGTATAAGGATTGCATTTACTCTGAAGTTCTTATCGAGACTGTTCTTTAATATGAAATTACTCTTCAACCTCGTAAGACAGGATCATATTCATTCATGGCAGAAATGAATCCATCAGCGAAGCAAAACAGTATCACTTATTGCTTTCTTTGCAGTGAGACAGTTTCCACTGACTGCATACCCTTGGAAAAGCACACTATTTCTTGAATGAGAAAGGTAGCTCCCAGTTTGTTTCTGGTGAATATTTATTTTTCCTTTAGCACAAATTTAAATGCTGGGTTTCCTTCCAGGGAAGTTGTTCGTGGAGACACACTTACTCCAAACAAATTTGGGTAGAGCTTGTGTTTCTGTATCTTAAGCACACTGCAAGTTGAACAGAGTAGATCTTGAAGGCAAGTGGTACAGAGGTAGCAGCACAGTATTGTGATAAAGCACTTCCACAGTAGCACTTTCAAGCAACTTGAACTTTATGGAATTCCTGTTAAAAACGTGCTTCAAAAGAAAAACATCGAGCTTTTCTCTTTTGCTTTCCAACTTACTGCAAGCACAGAAATCCTCCTTTTCCTTAGGTAGGACCTACCCTTGGTCCTGGCTGGTCCACTGTTAGCCATGAAGGCCACCAAGCAGGGAGAGCATCCTGGGCCTTGGCTGCAGTCTGTGCAGATGACAGTCTCTAACAAGAGTAATAATCAAGGGTTCACTTTGATAGAAACACAGCTGTGACAGCATTTGCTTCACTGGAGGAAGAAGGTTCAGCTTCAGACCTCAGTCATGGCTGAAGAAAAATTTCTTTTTTTTTTATTTTCCTGGAAAATGTTCGTATTTATAAAGCAGGTAAATTGGCACCTTTTAAATGTTAGTTTAATGACATCAGTTTGTAATTTCCGATAAGCGAGAATGTTTCCAGGCTCAAAGATGAGGCAGGCAATCTCATAGGTTTAGTATAAATTCACAAGGTGTTAGGATCTCTGACAGCAAAGATAGTGGTTGCTGCGGGCAAAGGTTGCTTCAACCAAAACTACATAGGAATATATACAGTAAAAAAAATAATAACCTTTCAAAATTACAGACAAATATGTGTTACACATAGTCTATGTAGTTAAATCCATTTTTGATTTTGGAATTAGATGCCAGTTTTTGAGGTAATCCAGTCACGGAAATAAGTCACTCGTGTGTAAACTCCAGGTTTATTTGGTTTGGCACATTCGTCTCCCCAGCTCACTATTCCCACGAGGTACCACATCAGTCTAGAGTCTGGAGTAACCAGTGGTCCCCCAGAGTCCCCCTAGAGAAAGAGGAGGGGAAAAAAAAGAATTAATTGATTAGAACAGAAAATCTAATTCTATCCATAGATAGGAGGGCGTGTCCAGTAAGAGAAGAAAGCAAGCAGTTTTTCAAGAGGTGCCATTTATGCAGAATCCAGGCTGTTTCTGAAACTTGAGTCAGAAGTCTGTGGCTTTTTCCTGTTTACGATGGAACCTCCTGATCTGTCTCTGTGGTTTTAGAGGGGAAAAAAAAAAAAGAAGCTTCTTTTCTGTTTTGTGAATCACTGCTTCCCATCTGCCTTGCCTTTCTCCTCATACAAAGTAGGGAAACATAAATACAGACAGCCCTCTACACCAACAGGAATTTTTTTTTTTTTTTTACAGTAACAACTATCCTTTCAATTAATTCTTTTAGTCACTTGCAGCAATAACATTTCAAAAAGATTTCGTCAGGAACTTGGTCTTCTAATTAAACAATATCTAGTGAAGATGTTAGCCACTTTCAAAGGCTGAATTCAGATACCGGTAATAGCATAACATGGTAATAATAGTTAAACTGGAAACTTTACAGGCTGAAAGGCAATCCTCACACAACAGACCAAATTCCCCATCTTTCACCAAAAAGCTTTACTGAAATAAACAGCAGTTGCACCCTTCTGTTCAGGTCTCTTCATTGCTGAGCCAGACAGAACAGAGGAACTGAGCCTCCCAGACTTATTCTGCAGGGAGTTTTGCTTTCGGCATAAATCTGTAGGACTGCGATTCTGGGAAGAGTCTGCTTTGAACCAGCACTTAGGAGTACATTCTTTGTAAATAACATAAATAGAAACTACCTTTTTAAAAGTTATCATTACGGAAATATTTTTGTTTGAACATAAGCATTTCCTTGCAACATTTGCAAACCTGCACCATGTGTGTGTCCTGACCATACCATTTACACTTAGCTTCTTTATAGTTATCTTTGTTTCAGACAGCTTTCTGTCACTGATCCACATTTGTTACCAAAGATCATATCATAACAGATTTGTTATGAGCCTGGTCTAGTCCAGACTTAAATTTCAATGAGTGATACTGCATTTTTGCTGGCAACTTAACTACTCCATTCTTAAACTTCTTCTGTCCCAACTATAGAGATGTGTTGTCTTGGCTACTTGAGACATTTAATTTTTAGCTCATATTTAGTATTTTAGCACATAGTATGGCTGTCAATGTCTTGTCATATTCTTTTGCAAGCATATTGTTTGTTAGATTTCACACACAAGAAATTATGAGAAGGAAATGGGCTTGTAGCAGCTATTCTGAGTTACAGAATAACAATTTCATTTCATGCTATGAAAGGTTTAAATTCTGTATATCATACTAATTTAGTTCTCATAGTATAAGTTTTATGTGCTAAATGACGTGTAGTAAATGCTATTTCATTTTACAACTTGATTCCTGTTTGAATGGAGCCTGTTTAAAGGACTAGTATGCAGTCAGTTAAGATGTGGTCAACCAGATATTGGAGTCAGCATTAAAATAGTTTTCCTTTCTAATTTTCAGCTACAGTTACCTGACAAGCATCTACTCCTCCTTCCAAGTATCCAGCACACAACATCCTGGGTGTTATGTCCCCATCGTACACTTCTTTTCTGTTGCAAGTCTTTGAGTCGATAAGTTTCACTGTTGCTTCCTGAAGAGCATTTGGAGTTGGACCTGAGGGAAAATACAGTTTGGGTATTTGTCAACAGAATTACTTTGCAGTGGTGAAGATATAGGAAGAGCATTTAATGTTCTCTTACGGAGGACCAGCTTGACTTGATTTAATGTGGAGGTTTTGCTTATTGGTCTGTCTAGGTTAGGCCCTTAAGGAAAATATACATGCTCATAGTCTCACTTAGGAACTGTACCATTAAGAGAGAAGTAACAATTGCATGGTATGTAGTGCCTTAAGTGTAAAGGCATGTATTTTATACATTTTCCGTATAATACAATGGAACACAAATTACCTAGCAATTCATTTTGCTACCAAATGAAGACATTTTGGTTCCATTGCTAAATCTACTGTTAGCATGCCCTGATAAGAGTGCGAGCTTGGGGAAGTCACCATCTGCAGCTCACTCTGCACATTGACCTGAAAACGCACAGAGTTATCTGTAGCTTCTGGCTAGGGCTGGGAGAATGTTTTTTTAGGTGCTATATAAACACATGCATGGCTGGACTATCTGTCTTAAAAATTTACAATATGAAACAGAAAGGCTGGAAAAAGAGAACAGTCTTCCTACTGTTTTCTGCCTCAGGGGACTGTAGCTCTGTCCTTGTCCAGCCTAATTTTAGAACAAGAAATAAACAAACCTATTGCTTATAGACAAAGCGTTAGGCTCGCTGCCATACAACATATGGCTACAGAAACTGGTTTCCATTCAGTAGCAGATCAGAGCCACTGTTTATGTAACGTACAGGTCGCCTGGTAGACTCAGGACTCACCGTCATTGGTAAGCGCTCCCCAGCCTGTGATGACAGCAAAAATATTGTATGGAAAAGTCTGAAATGGCTCAGGCAGACAAACGCGGTGTATGCTACTCGTGAACTCAACTTGTTTAGAGAGCTGCACAAGTGCAATGTCATAATCGTGTTCTGGGTAGCGGTACTTTTCATGAATAATAATAGTCTTGACTGATCGTTTCAAGCTTGCTGGCTTCAAAAGAGCTCCAAAAGTAGCAGTCCACTTCTGAGGGTGACTCATGCTGAAAAAGGTAAGAGTGCTGTAAATATTTAGCTTATATCTAAGTGCTTGGGACTTCAAACTTGGTGAGAACCTTTATTGTAAAGGTCCTTCAAGCCAGCTCCCTACTAGATTGTTAAGGCATCCATCACTTTCCATAACACTGTGTCCCATGTAATTGTGGGCTGCTGCTAAAAGACGGCAATCTTGCATTCCCTCCTCAACCATGGTCTCATACTCGTTCCCTGCTCCTTGTCCCTGATCTAGCCATTGTGCAGCCACGGGATGTAATCAAATCAAAAAGCTCTTCTGCTAGAAACTTCTTTCATCTCCATTACTCTTTTTGCATGCTAATAATCTGTTCAATCAGCTGTTCCATTTTACATGTGCTGCAGCTTCACAATTGCCATGCTTGAAACAAAAAAGTGCTGGGAGTGCATGGCTATGGCTGAACAGAGGGGTAGGAATGTGGGATTATAACTTCTAGTAGCAGCCTGCAGTGGCAGCAACATAGCTGTAACACAAAGGAGCACCTTTAGTAACATTTAGTGTGACAGAAAGCAAATACTCTGCCATTTCAGTCACATTACCTTTCCTGCACTTCTTTGCTCAATATGCCAAATGGCTATTGATTTCCACACATACAACTGCCAGTTCTGCTCCAGAGAGTCAGTCTTCGATTCCTCATTGAAACATTCAAGAGATGGGTCTGCTTAACCCTGACTTTTCTCCTCCAGGGGAGAAAATTGTTCCCTTGGAAAGGGTCACAGATGTGGTGTAAATCTGGAAAGCCACACAACTTGGTACACATGGGGCACATTCTGCTGCAGATTCTCTCTAAGATGGGAACTTACTCTCTGAAGCAGTGAGCTGCAGATACAAGCCACGTATTGCTGATGAGTGTTGCACCACAGCGATGGATATTATTGTACTGCAAACTTGCTTGCCACGGCCAGTCCCCAGTCTCTGCAGAAGACAATCCACCGACTATTCGCAATGATGATGATTTTGCCATTGACTTGACTGGCCAATGGCTGTGGAAAACATATGTAAAATTACACAACACCTCGATTCTCTAACAGTATTAACATCAATGAGAAAACGTACCTTCCACCAGCCCTCCCAAATCAGAGATCCTCATGCACAACCCATTCTGTTAGAAGCCTGAATGAACAACTGGCTATTATGGAAAGCCATGATGGTCAACCATTCAGACTTAGCTGTGTGGGCAGCCCAAATCAGGAAGCGAAACCTTCACCACGCACCCAGAACGATTCCCAAATACAGGGATTGCCAACTTTTATGTCCCAGGTAATTTGTCATTAACATAAAACATGAACGAGGCAAAATCGAAGCTGGGAATGATCCAAGCCATGTTTTTTTTACCACACATGCACGCAGATTGCATCAGCAAGATGTCACCTGGAAACAGGCAAATGCGCATTGCACAAACGGCAGGCTGCAAGTGGACCTGGAGAGGCACTTCAGGCAAAGAGCATCACACTAATAGAAGCCAGAGATGACAAAGGCATGGATACTTCCGGCACGGTGTGTATCCATGACAGAAAGTATTATCCTCCAAACCCAGAGAGAAAGTAAAATATCCATGGTTTCAGCCACTGAACTCAGGATATTCAGGAGCAGCTGAAGCTCCCCTGTAGCTTTAGAAACTTCCTCAGTGGACAGAGCTGCTTCAGCTGTCTTCTCCCATCCAAACAACATCAAATCCATCTTACCTGGACCAAGACCCACTAGTTTTCATCCAGGCCCCGATTTCAGCTAGACATTAGGAAAGTTGACAGACAGGACTATCCCAATTCATTGAAAAAGAGACAGAGCTAAGAATTATTTGCATAGTGACAACACAATCCAAACCATTGCACTGCCTGTCTTCCACAAACAGTGACCAAGAGGGGGACAAAGCAGAAACTGGTAGTATGTCACTGTAGAGCTGCCAGCCCCATGGGCCTTGAAGTCCTCAGAAGCGAAACACTGGAGCCACGCAGAGTGCAACCTCTGCCCCTTCCTGCTAGGATCTGCACAAGGTTATGTTAACAGAACCTCGTAGTCAAAAGCAGCAGCAATAACACAACAGAGTGAAAGCTTAAATTTGAGAGGAAAAAAAAAAGTCAGACAATATTGAGAAGCTCACATGCTTAGTGTAGAGTCTGCCCTGTTCTAAGATTTAAAACCACAATGAAGGAAACCAGTGAAATCTAAATCTGTTTGTCCAAAACCCTCCATGTGAAAGGAAAACTGGAGAACATACCATAACTGATAACACTGTCTGCACTAGCATGTTTCCCTCCTTGCAAGCTATTGGTAATCCTCAATTACTGGTCCTAAAACTGCACAATCCTATCGACCACCTGAGCAGTCTATGTTCAAAACACAGGGAGAAACTCACAGTTCCATCAGTGCCCCAGAACACCAGCACCTAAAACGGACCCAAAAAGTGACGTTATTTAATCTCCATTACTTGAAAGCCTGGTGCTAAGGAACTGATCAAACCTTACCAGGGTAAAAGAAACCCAACTTGTAAGCAAAGATGCCTTTTTATGACTGTTAAATCTCTAAACAAGATTCTAACTATCATCTGCTCAAATAAAAATGCACTCAGATCCACAATAAGGACTCTCCTGCCTTTAGCACATTATAGTACACCTTTCAGCTAGCTGTTGTGCCTGACATTAAAGCAGTCCAAGCAATTAATTTTTTTTATTTATTGGAAGTCCTCCCCACTCACTCAACTTTACTACGTACTATGTTATTTCGTGTAAGAGCACAGCCTGTCTCTGCATGTCCAAATACACAAATAAGCAGACACAGTGTAGAAGCTCTCACTGGTACCAACAACAACTGGATCAGGCTAGTAAATAAACAAGAGTCCTGAACATTTGCTCAGCCCTCACTGGCTAAGTCCTGTTTCCTAGATGGCAGGCTTTACATTTAAGATGCACCCTCCACCTTCCACACCAGCACTGCAGGAGGCAGAAGCGTGCCATAGGCACCTGTGCAGCAGGACCTGAGTGTCTCTTCTCTGCCCAGTGCTGGGGATTTCTGTAGAACCCTCAGCACTTGCTCTTTTCTCACAGAATTGCTGTTATTTTTAACAGGAAGAAAATCTCACTGCAAAAAAAACCTGACCAGGGCACTCAGCAGTATGTTTAGACTTTAGAAGGGATTTTTACCCCATCACCACTATTTTCAAGCCAGTTTTCCTTAGTATCCCAGAAGACACGAATAAAAAAAGGCTTCCTTGTGACCGAGCAGGATTTCTAAACACACGGCTCATCTGTGTGGAGTACAAGGTCACATTCATTAGACAAGAGGATGAGAAAAGGCTTTTAAGGGCCAGGAAAAGTGCTCATAGACTATCAGTGCTAATTAATACAATCTGCAATTTCCCAGGCTTAAAAAGCCTTCACTTACTGTCATTGAAGAGGGCTTCTGCTCGTTTCTTCTCCATATCTGAAACAAACAAACAGTCAGGGTGAGGCCAGGACAGCACGGGCAAGGTTTCCCATCTGCATGGTCCTCCCACCCCATGGCTATTTGAGTCCAGGGCACCGCAGGAGATACGGCTGAGGGGGGCTGCTAGAGAAACCAGTGTAGCTCATATGCGGTCACGTTCTTGCACTGGCTATCGCACACCTCTCTGTGATGCTGCTTGCTGTTCTCCAGCCAGCCGATATCCTCTGAGGGCCAGGCACAGGGTCTCCCCCATTCTGCCGGACCCTGATGTTTCTGGATGGGACTGCAGACAAAATAAGTTCTGTATTATTCAAAGCCCACAATTTTGCTGGAGAGAAATTTTTTATAGTGGAAAGTTCTGAAGTTCCCTTTTTGTAAAAATTCAACTGGCTGCATTTTGCACCAGAATGAGGGCCGGGGGAGATCTGGTGCTCACTCTGTGCCATCTTTGAGATCAGATGGCACTGACTTCACTGCAGCAATGCCAGCTTACAATAGCAGTGTCTCACTCGCCTTTCTCCTATCTTACTGAACAACAGGGTGTCTGGTACACTATTAATACCAAAAGAGATGGTTAATAGCAATTTATTGCATGGCACAGCAGGTTCTAGCAATACATTCCCTCCTTTAATATGCATGCCTTATGTTTATGGACGATACAGTATGCTCATGCTGACAATAACAAGCATTGGCTCAAGGCATAAGTCTATTCACCTTCTTCCAGAATGCTGTTTTTAGTAGAGCCACCATTTTAGTTGCCAGCAGTTAAAAATATTAACAAAACAAAAACAACACAAAACCAAAACCCCACACTTTCAGTACAATTTTTAAATTATATAGTGATTCTTGTACAGCATCCACAACTTCACATTTTGCAGCTGGATAGCCTTCCTCAGCAGACCCCTGTCCTTATCCACTTACTTCATTTCTCTTTTCTCTTTGTAGCTACACAGAATAATATCCTAGTTTTGATCCAAAACCACACCAAGCCAGGAGGAGTCTCTTTGGAATGCAAAGGGCTCTGGCTCATACTTGTCGCCTATTGTGCTTGCATCAGTTGTGTTTTGCTTGTGGGCTTGACGCTCCTCCTGGTATCCACAGTGAATTTCATGTTTGCAGTCCACCATTACTAGACGTGTACTCTTCATTTCTTAATATGACATTAAGCAGATTATGATAGAAAAAGGAAACAAACAGAACTCCAGTGCATGCACAGCTTGACTGCAGGGAATGTTACAGAGCAAAAGCAGTGCTAGGGCTGCCGAATGTGCACGCAGCCGCTGCTTTATTTTGTAAGAATGGGAGATGAGTTATACTTGGACATTTATACAGCAACACAGTCTTATTCACTATAAACAGGAACTGTTCACATAATAAAGAGGTTTTTCTGATGAGCAAGCAACAACTTGTGAGGTCCCCTTTCAGTAAAAATGATCACCTATACTTTCTCAATTCCTGTGAAAGAAGGAGGAAAACCCTAAAGTACAGGTATTTCTGCACTTCAGGAATATTGGTTGTATTCTGTGAATTTCCATGGATAATATGTTTGGTTGTTGTCAAGATTCCTTACATCAAAATGTAATAATACCAGACGGTAAAAACTAGGCCAGCAGAGGGACTCAGTGGTGGTGTAAACATTGCTGTTTGGTAAGTCACAAAGTGAGGAAGACAAATGGATGCTGAGCTGTGCTAAGGATTTGGCTACTTCACCTGTATATGTTTATGTTGGCAAAAAGTGCTGTGAAAAATCTGGCCCTACTTGTTCATTTCAACTATGATAAGCATCCAATGTTTTCCTAGAAATTCATACAAGCTTCAGAACTAGCTCATCATTTGGGTCACTCTTAATTTTATAGCTGGAAATTGGTAAGAAACCAACAAATGTAATCAAGAATGAAAGAGCACCTTTTGCCTGATAATAATGTTTTTTTAGCTCCTCTCTGGGTGGAGGTAGATCTACCTCATAATGCCTAATTATAAAGCCTGCAGTCAATTATTAACACTTACATTATGTTGCAAAGCTCATCAAGAAGACAAAAGGAGCAACCAGGTTGTTCAAGCACAGTGCCGGAAGCAATTCAATTGGCATGTTCTCACTGCACTGAGTTTTGCTGTGAGTCACACAGCTGTTCTGCAATGCACCTGTCTATATCTCTCTTTGCATTTTTACGAGGCACCTAGAAAAAAGTACAAACCTCATGTGGGCAAAATTTTACCCATTCTTTCCAGCTGGACTGACTTGCGTGTAATTGGAAAAACAAGTCTCACACACACACTGCAAGTCTTAAACAGCATGTCTGTACAGCTTTGAATTTTAGCATACTTTATAATACATCACAACTATGCAGCCAATGTACTCTCCCCACCCACCCACTGCTGAAGGAAAAAGAGCCAGTCACACCTGTCAGTAAATGTCAATAAATTCACCAGGGTAGGGGCATTGCTTTGCTTTAGACATCTGCCAGATACAGTGCCCTGACCATGTATTCCACGCACTGGGAGCTGGAACACAAGTACTGAAGAAAACACTGCACCAGTGGAGAAAATCTCAAAGTAAAGGGAGTTTTTAAGAGGTGAAAGCAGGTGTGTCTGGCAACAGGCCCAGGAACCCATCATGCAGATCAGCACTGGTGAAATTATAGACACAGGACTCAAAACAAAGATCCCAAACCCAGAGCACAGGTATGTGTTTGGAAATCTGAACTGATGCTATTTTCAGATAAGCTGAGCCCACAGTATATCCCATCAAAAGCAGGAGCATTTTGGGTTACATGGTACTGCTGAAAATCAGGGTGCTTACTGGCTTACCTCATCAGGGGTTTGCCTTGATTTGTTATTAGTTTGACATTTTTGGCCTGGTTAACCGCATAGCTGTTCATAATTGTGCCAGCCACCATGTTGCAAGCCCTGCCTTGAAGCAATCACTTGTAAGGCACGAGAGACAATTTTGCTGCCCTGCTCATTTACTAGTTGCCCTAGTTGTCTGCACTACCAAGAAAAAGCATCAATTAGTAACAATTAAAGTGCCATAACTTGTCCCAGCCACATATAGCTGCAAAAATAATTGTTTGTGCCGCATTTAGGAAAACAGTGTTCAGGCTTCCACTGTAAACAAGAACAAGTTCAACTTGAACGTGCATTGCCTACCTGTAAAATGGAACTTGCTATTTAATTAAAGCTTGCTTAACTTAAAAGAGAAAACTAATGTTTAAATGAAAATCACAGCAATCTATTGAAATGCTGTTTAGGGATTCCATCTTTCAGAAGAGGGCTCTGCTCTCCACCTGCACAAGCAATTTTGTTCGTACAGTTATTTTGCATATTTAGTAAATGGAATAACCTTAAGACACATATAAATTACTGGTCTTCATTTCCAACTAATGACAACAGTGACTTGCAGTTACTATTTAAGATTAATAACTTCTCAGTAAATAACTTCTTTTTACTCCTCAATATATGTGTTTGAGCAAACACGGAAAGAAAAGGGGAGTAAGCAAAAGCAGGAAAGCATCTTTATTTTGCTAATTGTTTATCTGCAATAGCCAGTTAAGGCCAGGATTTCTAAGGGAGTTCAGTGCCCAAAGCCTGTGGATCTATTTGGCAGCCATCTACATGTTTGCAGATTCAGTTAATTGCAGAGTGAATGTGACCACTTATCTCTAAGGGATTCAGAGATTCCTGCAGAAAAATGTGCTCGCTTTGCCATGTCTCTAAATACTATCAGTGTCATTGCATAAGAAGAATTAATCTTTTGTCCACTGCCTCATTTCATTTTAGCCACAGAGATCAGTGTTTATATTAAAAGGAAAATAACAGGCAGAACTCTCAGTGGCATCAATGGACCAGACATTATATTGAAGTAGTTCAAGCAAGGCAAGCAAATGTGTTATTAGGGGATATTATGCTTTTGCAGTGTGGAAAGGGCCAGAGATGGTTGCAAAATTAAAGATGAAATTTCTGTTTTAAAAATCTGATACAGCTTTACCCAATCACATCATTTTTCACAGATCTTGATTTCCACAAGAAACTTCTTTAAAGGTTTCCACCTGTGATTTTCTGTATGTCATAATTGCAAGCTTCAAAGACAAACTGCATGTTCCATCCTCTGTTATATCAAGTTTCCACATCTTGCTAGTGTAAGATTCACACAGAGAATGCAAGGTAGAGATTATCTTAAGTGGGATATGAAGGGAGGAAAGGATTGTAACATAAAAATTAAGAAAAAGTACATGCTTCAGTACTAGTAACACATTCTTGCACATGCATTTGAAGCACAGCTTTGTGAAATGCACCAGGGAGCAGAGGACGTATTTTCCCCACAGTTCTTTGTCACATTGTAATAACAACTTCCTCAAAAAAAGAGAGAATTACAAAATTCTCAGCTGCATCAGAAACAGGGGCTTACCTAATTTAGGGTTATTTAGGGTAACAACAGTGCATGCAGGCAAAAAATGGATCTCTGGCAAATTTCAGTAGGTCACCAACATGGGCAGCTGAAAGGAATGCCACAGACTGCATCTGTCCTGCAGTGCAGAGGTGGGGATAATAGCTCTAGTCTAATACTCTTTAATTACCTTAAAGACCACAAGGGCCAGAGGTACTGGGCTGAAATGGGAATAAGAGCAGTGAGCAGCAGATTCAGTCATGTTCCAAAAACTGTACCCAAAAGGAAATGCAGGGGTTTCCTGAAAGATGGCAAAACATGAGCTTTGAGCTCATGCTCAGGAAAGTGATGTTCTTGTGCGGTTACATAGGGCATACAATCTAAAATGTCTCCCCACTAACCTTCCAATATTCTCACCACTCTCTCAACAGGAATTACCTCCCTAGAGTTATGCACCCTTGTAGAAGTAGCAAAACATGGCTTAGATACAGGTGATGCAATTCTCATTCCTTCAGCAGGGGAGAGTAGCCTGGTAGAGACAAGACAAAGGCTTTGTACCTGTCACTCAGCCCTTCCCTCCCTACTTATGTCCACTGGGCCTGCCCTCACATGTATCACTTCCTCCCCAGTCACCATCAACCACATCTTATTTCTGTCCATGAGGACAGACAGAGGCCCACACCTCACAGCATACTTACAACTCCTCCATCTGGGCATCCTGCAGCCTGAGTAGGGATCTGCCATCCTGCAGCCCGAGGAGGGATCTGCATGAGGAACTATGGACCAGTTCTGTAGCGTGTATCCAAGCTGATACAGTTTATAGCATTATTTTTCTTCCTGACCCACACTCACGCCCCAGCTGCAATCAAGGTCTCACTACGGTAGGGGCAGTCCAAATCACTTGAAACTCTGCAGGCAAGGCAGAGACAGGGAAAAACAAGAACTGAGTGAGGAAATTAATTAAATCAACTTATCTGGGTCATCTAAGAAGTCAGGTCAGGATGGTTTCCTGCCTAATACCCTATTCACAAGCATGTCGTTGCAAAATATTGATTTAAAAATATATTTCAGGCAGCCTCTCTAGACTGTTGCAAATGCTGAAACATACCACCTCGTGCCAAATTAATGGCATCAAAGCGGAGGAATGTCAGATCTCCACTGTATTTCCTAATGTACAGATGCGTGTCCTGTTCCACTCCCCCAAAATGCTGTTGTGGCTGGTAAAGTACAAAAACCCAGACTGCTATATACATTATTTGAGATGAAGCATTCCTCAATCATCCAGGTCAGACACTCATCTGCATGTCTCCCACAGAAGACTCAATAAAGAAGTGAGAATCTGTCTCTCAGGTTCTGTACTTTGTATTTGTAAGGAGCTTTAGCAAGCCCCAGATGCCAGATAAATAGAAACAATAACAGTTGACTTGTTGATCAAAACCAATTCATGACTCATTCTTCATGGTCAAAACCCTTGGCTGTGCAACAGGTGGGAATGCTTCCTACTCACTTTGAACAGTGCCAGTGATCTTGCAACCAGTTTCTTTCTGACGTCAGAAGTCCATTCCCAAAAATACACTTTGGGAGACTTCCAACCTACTTGACAAAGGGAAATAGTCTGGCAAGGTGCTCTACACTTTGCTTAATAGGGAGCCAGGCTGTGAGATGACTCTACTTCTAACCAAGAAACCCTGGGGAAAAAAAGTCAGCCTTGTAGGAGATCTCTTTGGTGCCAGAACTGTACAGAGGACGAACTGCAACACCTTCGTTCAGTGCCAGTGGAAGAACAAGTCGTAACGTGGGTGTTTCCAAGTCATACAACTTTGATATCTCATTTTGTTGGCCCTTGCACTGTTGTTCAGAGAAGATAGGATTTAGTTTGCCTGCTTCTCCAGTGAAAAATATTTGGGCTTCCTGTAGGGTTTGTACACAAGTGCAGAGATCTCTATCACCTCCTATTTTCTATCAAAGTTACAGTGCATGTCTGGAGATACCACTGTCCTTTACTAGGGGACTACAAAGTCTAGCTAAATAAGAAAGCAGGCACTTCAGTAATAACTCATCTGAAGATACCCCAATACAAATGTATTCTTGTAGTCCTATGTAAAGAACACCTACTGTTTAGTGATGATACAAAACAGAGACAATATTATCTTGTTTTCCTTTAATTTTTACACAATTGCTTTTTTTTCCACATCTGTACGATCAAGCTTGTATCTCTTTTCAAAAAAAAAAAACCTGAACTAATAAATCATTGTCAGTTTAGATTTTATCCCCAGTCCTCAGGAATGAGGAGGCAAAGCAAGTTCTACCCGTGGTCTGGCAGACTGCTTAGTTTTGTACTGCTGCCCTGAACTGCAGCTGGAGATCCCAGGTGTTGCACCCAATTTGCAGGAGTTTGTTGGAGCTGATCCGCAAAGCAAATACTTTTGAGCAAAGTGCAAGTTGAGACATGGTGTTGAACAACAAGATGATTAGATCTGGGGAGGAAGACTTAGGGATGTTCTCCTTATCAGAGCCTTCTAGCATGCAGTGTAAATAAGTGCCTGACCTGGATTTGTTCAACTAGTCAGCTATGCTGAGCTAAACTAAGGTATATCATGGCCCCCAAATTATAATCTTTTGATAAGGTGATAACAATGAACAGGTTAATGATTTTTTACAAGCCATTATGAAAATGTTCTGAGATTGCCTCAAGATAAACAAGGATTCCAGTTGGCAAAACCATCAAAGCTACAGTGAAGCAAAATTTAGAAAGGTGCTGCAGAGCATGGAAAAAATGTAGGGCTTCTTAGCTTTCCTTGGTTTAAATACTAATGTTGGACAGGGTACATCAGGAGCGGAGAGAGAAGTGGGAAAAGCAAAACCTAGATCCTTCTCTGGACTTCCAGGATTTGTTGAAAATTGTCACTTCTCCCAGGTGTGAGGAAGAAGACAAGCTTTTTGTCCTCTAAAGGCATAGGAGTGCTCTGTTCTATACTTGTCACTAGAGTCAACCTGGTTTTCTTAAACCACAGCACCAACAGGAACTTGCCTAAGCCTCATAGCACTGTTGATATCCTGTTAGCAAAGAAAGATCCAAATGGAAACTTTTATTGCCATCTCCTAGAAATGGCAAGGTATTGTTTATGTTCTTTTGTGTCACGTGTAACTGTTGCACAATGGTAGTCTTGTAGCCAGTAGTAGACCTATGTAGTCAGTGTTCTATGGTTAGGCTGGGAGAGCCAAGAAAAGCAGCGTGAAGTTTATCATACAACTTTATCAAAGTAACACAGAGATGCCATCTTTTACTGAGATCAAATATTTAACAAAAACATTATGACGCAATTATACCAGCTAATTTTTTTAACGAGCAAGTAGTGCAGCCCTAGTGCAGTTCAAGGTCAACTAAAACAGAGTTTTGAGTCACTTCGCATATTTACCAGACTGAATAAAACCAGCTAATCAGATAACTCTATGAGAAGATCACACTCCTTCTCTAACAAGTGTTTTTATACTCCTTCCAGTCTTATTCTTTTTGTAAGGCACCAAATTAAACTGAAGCTTCAGAATTCACTAAATTACAACCTGGCTGTCTTTAAAAAAAAAACAGAAAAACCTCTTTGAATCGCTCTAGTTGATGCCCACACACTGTTTCTATCTGGGAGAAATTACATGTACACTCTGCTAAACAGACACTACTGGCATATAAAAAACACCACAGAGAAATGGAGATTCTTTGCCCAAAGGGATGTTACCAATCATCCTGAGCCATTCCAATGGGGAAGACTGGTTGGCCCATCAAGAAACATTGGGGATGTGACAGCTCATATTTGAGTTTCACTGCCCAGTTCAAGCACCAAGAGGCAGTACAAGAGGTTGCTCCTGGTCATTTCTGAAAGGGAGGAAGTCTGGATCGATCCAGCACGGAATCTGGCCCAGGCTCCTTGTCCTTTCAACACAGCCATCCGGCCTCTGCAAATCTCTGCTGGTTTAAGTAGTCTAGTGTGGAAAAGCAAGCAGCAAGTACCCACCCATGTGCTATACTGTCACCCTTGTGCTGCGAGAAAGTGGAAGGTCTGCAAAAACAAATGGAGCAAGAATCTGCCCTTCCTTTCAACTAGCAACTCATTCTTGAAAAGTCTGACACCCAGAAAAAATGCTGACTGTATATAAGCGAAGCCAAGTCAGAGACAAGAGTCTAAGCCTGTACAAAAATTCTCTAACAGATCAGAAGTGTAGAAGCGGAGGAAAACCCACCTTTCAGTGTCTGGTAATTCACTAAATCCAAAACATAGTGCAGTTAATTCTTACATCCTGCAGAAGCAGGTCTGCTTTGCAAAGAAGGGGCTAGATCCCCAGCTGAGAAGACACATAGGTAAGAACATTTTCCCTTTCTTTCCCTTTCCCCTGGGGAATTTGCACGGATTTCAATCCTCCCACCAAATATTATTTTTTCACTGCATTGGCTATTTCCTCACTGTCATCCAAGCATAGTTTCTGCACTTTCAGGCTCCTCAGAGAAGCAAAGACCTAGGGAACATACTTGCGTTGCTGTGTACTAAAGCACTGTGGTGAGGCTCCTACTCTTTACCTCAATAGTAGCAGAAGGTTGATACTGCAGTTTGGAGGGAGGCTAAGGCTGTACTGCGAGGCCACAAAACAACTGCTCCTGTTTATCCATATTTAAGTCACATTTAAAAGACTTAGGTGGGGTTTATACATTACCGCTGATTTTTTGTTTTAACTTAATGAGTAGGAAAGACTGTCATTCAGACTTGGTAACAGCCATCATCAGAAGGGAAAAATCATGTCCCGTCAATCAGAAAAGGGTGAGAACTAGCTTTATGAGAGATGCAATATACTTACTTGATACGGTAGAAGATCTGACATTTATTCGCAGGGGCCCTGTGTATTTTTTCAGGCCTCTCTGTAAGATCCTTTCAACTCTTTCTCGCAATGCTTCTCTAGAATCCGTGGAGGAGAACCGGAATGTGAGCAAAGCCTCTGCCATCACACCACCAGCATCTGGGCTACAAACCAACGAAACAGTCTGGTTACCTTCAGCCCATTTCTGCATTTCTTAGTTTTTATCTTAGCTCCTCTAGCAATGGCAATGTAACATAAAGGATTAGACACATTTTTGAATATTTGGTACATTTTTGAGAGAAGGAATTGCCGAAAGAAATCCAAGTAAATGCTGAATGGTCAAACGCATCTTAGGCTAGAAGAAAGCATGATGCTTTCTGTGAACAAATGGCCAGACCAATGTTATAATGGAGTCTAAAACGCAGTCACTGGCTACATGCTTGGGATACAAGAGGAGGAGTGAATGAACTGATTTGATTGCAGTGAAAAGCTGGATACACAGCACTTCAGAAACATCAGGTTGAAGATTAATGTTATCTAGACAGACCTTTCTAGGGCCCTGTACATACACAGAATAAAAATTTCCAATCATCATCAAACAGGTACTTGAGCAAAGGGGAGAGACCACACAACCCAATTCCACCACTGCAATCTCTCAGGCGTATGTGACTAATGACCCCACATTAGGCAACAATAAATGAAAGTCAGCAGCATATCGACAGTCTGCTTATCACAGTCCAAGAGCTGGACAACAAAAGGGGCCTTTAACATCTCACTGAAAAGTGCAAGCAGCACCCACACTGGGACACAAAATTGCCCAGTTTTGATGTAAGATCAGAGGAAAGAAAAGGAAGAAAAATCTTCTAACAGACTGAACTCACCCAGTAGCAGTATTTATTTTTCCTTAAAGCATCAGATACTGCAAGAGGCTGAATGCTAGACTACAAACACCAAAGCATCTAATCTGGCATAGTGAATCTTGCTCTGTGCTTGCAGATGGCTTATCCTTGGTTATTACATGGGGAAGATAAGAGCGTGCTCTGAGAACCTTCTCTCCTGTGCCTCCTCCTACCTGAGTCAAGAACCAATGACACAGCCCACAACAGGTGGAATCACAGTTGCTTCATACAGGGGGCTAGCTAAAAGCAGGTTGCTCTGACTTCAGCATCATTCGGGTAGGAAAGGAAAAGAGAAGATCTTCCATTTATATCTCACTATCTTGGAAATTTGTAACTATATAAAGGAAAAAGAAGAAAATCTAAAATAGAAGGCAAGTAGCTTATACAGAAGTCATGCAATCAGGCTATGGTCTTCAAAAGGAGAATGCACCCAAATGAAACAGACATCCCTGCTATCGCCAGTGAAGGGAAAATAAAAAGCCATATTTTATGAGCACAGCAAGGCATGCTGTGTGTTTTATAGCTGAGCAGAAAAACACGTTCCTTGCCTCAAGGATCTCATAATTGAGACTGAGTAGCTATATGTGAACGGCCCAACAGGCTGTTTTTTCCCTTTGTGCCAACTTCAGAATGATTGCCACTCCATTTATTTTCCAGATATTATCTGATCCAACTGTGGGTGTTGCTCTGCATTTCTGAGGTGTTCCCTCACCTCTCCCCCCACTCCTCTTCCTGTGCTGTGCCACACTGGAATTACCGTATCAACTCTTGCAAGCACACCACACCTCTCGAAACCCTCAGGTAAGTACAGCCTGCCTTGAATCATTCACTATACAACAAAGGTCCAGAGCCAAAGACACCTAGTCAAGATTCGTTTTGTCTTTCTCAGTAAGCAGTGGGCATTATTACTAATGCATTGTTTATACTGAGCCAAAAAATATGCACAGTACTTTCCAAGCAAATTCACAAAAATGACCCTGCTTGAAAGAACTTGCAGTCTGAGCACTTACAGGCATAAAGCTTGTATATCTGAAAAAAGGAAACCAGCTTTGGTGCATACAAGTCTTGCATCCAACACAGCAAACATCACAGCAAATACCTCAGTTTGTCCTTGGGAACAAGATGTAATGAAAAATATTACTTCTCCCTACAGATTGGCCTCTCAGATCCTTAAACCACCTTGTCTACACTTAAAGCACTCTAGTCAGTGTCGAAAAATATTCCTAAAGCTACGTTCAAATAATGACTTGTGTGATTTGCCTAACTGGGGATTAATCTAAGGTAGAGCAGGAGGCAGGATGTCACAAACTATAGAAGAACAAGGAGAAACACATTCACAAGAGTAAGATCTTGAGGCTGCTATCATTAGTCTTGCAGCTTTAGCACATGATTATTAAGACATTCAAGTTTTACTTGCAAATTGATAGGCACTGTCACTCAGGAACAAGACCTTGGTATTACAATAGACAGTTCCATAAAAAGGTCATTTTCAGCCCTCAACAGTAGTCAAAAAAATCAAATCAAACATTAGATATTATTGGCAAATGAACAGAGAATAAAAAGGAAAAAAAATATTCCTCGGTGATAATCCAAATCACAGGTCTGACCCCTCCATCTAAAAAAGCAGAGACAGCAGACCTGAAAGAGTAACAGAGCAGGGTGACAAAGTGACAAGGAACAGTTCCTGCCAAGAATGGCTGAGCAGGCTGGGACTTTCAACTGAAAAAAAGAGTAGAGCTCATGGGGTACAGGAGAGAAAAGGGATATATGATGGGAGTGTCTGATACCACTATTTGCATAAAGAGGAAGGACAGAGATCAACTTTTCATCACCTTTTCCAGTACAAGAACTAGGGGCCGTTGAATGATCCAAAGAAGGTGGCTCTTCACAAGTATCTCCTTACTAAAGGATTGAGGTGCACAAATTTCAAGAGTCCAGGGGAGACAAGACAAGTCCTTGGAAACTAATTCCACTGGGGGCTGCTAAACAAACCACAACCACTTCAGGAACTCCCAGGTGGTAAATAGCTGGAGGTAGGGAGCATACCAAGAAGTAGTTATCATACATGTCTATTGTGCTGCTACTGTTTCCTAGGTACCTACTTCTGCCCGTTCTTAGAGACACAACAGCGACAAGTGCGACCTTCAGAAGCAGCACAGCCATGCTCAGGTTTTACTTGACAAGCCCAGCACAGCAGCAATACTAGAAGTAAAATGACATCTGCATTATAGTGAAGGAAATAGTTTTGAAAATGCTTTTTATTTTTATATAGCTCAAGTTATATCTGCTTTATTAGCTAAAGCTTGCTCAATATCTGAACACAAACTTGTATAGAATTTGGACTGAATGACGTTTATCTCCTGCATCAAGATCCAAAGGAGGACGTGGTTCAGAATAAGATTATGCTCAATTGGGGATTATGCTCCGGTCTTACATAAAATACACTTTACTGAATTGGATCAAATGGCTCTCTAGCTGGGCTTGGTGTACATTTCATTTTCTCTCTGCTGTGTGCTTTTATTTTAATCTCACATACCTCACTCTGATTAAGCGTGAACTGATGTATTTTTTCCTTAAAATGGAATTGTAAAATGTCTTGTCGATCTGTTGAAAAAAGAAAAATATAAGATAACAACAGAAAAGGAGGGAAATGGACATATTGCTGGAATGAGAAATCAGAAAGCAGCATTCGATTACAAACTCACATCTTACAGAACCTAGAAACGTAATCCAGCCCAGCCTCTAGATAACATTTCTCACAGACTTTTCCTAACAGTTTCCCATTTGGCCTAAAGCACGTCATAAAAAGTTAATTTGTTTTTCTAAATATCCTATGACTACATCAGTGTGCCACTGTAGTGCTGTCCCTTCCACTCCCAGGCATAATGAAGGAATTTCATAAATATCCTTGAAACACACTGCGCAAAGCGCAGCCTCCTAAAGATGGCCTACAGAAAGGATACAGGATGTTGTGCTCTGCACTGAGCCTCTCTTGTAGGGGTCCTTTCTGATACAGCACTTATCCTTGGTCCTGTAGAAATTTATAGCAAAACTAACAGTGATTTCCAATTATATCCCCCAAACACTGTTGTTATTTGCCACATGCTAGGGGAATTGTCATGCAATTCTCACCAGAAATCTGGGACTCATAAGGAATCAATCCCCAAATGACATCATTGCTGGTGCCTGCTTAACCACATCCTTCTTTAGGCTGAATGTTGTCTCAAGATTGCGTGATCAGTCTGAGACAGCACAGTGTGATATAACACGGCACGAAATTCTGCCAGGCATGGCTCATGATCACTGAAGTGTTTAGAAATAGCAAAATCACTAGCGAGCTATGCAGTTCCTCCTATCAGCAAGACCCAGCAAATCAAACATATCCTGTAAACATCAAATGCACTACAAGAAAAGCTACGTAGAAATGCTTTACAATATCATGCAAGTTGTCTTTTTGTAGTTTTTAGCCCATAAAGGCTGTCTGATTTAGCCAGTTCTCCAGATTTTCTGTCTTCCAAAGGAAAGAAAAAAGTAATGGTTCTCAAACTTCTAGTACGATGATATCTTTCAGATATAGAAACAAGCATGTAAGCATGAAATCTGGGGGTGATTCCTCCCAAAGAACACAAAGCCCCTCTTTCCAGCCTTGGTTGTCATAAGATGAAGCCTCACATCATTACACGGTGATACTGAAGCAGAATAATTTCAAGACGAAAACTGCACATTTTATTAAGCATATATTAGTGAGGAAACAAAAAGAATAATTCTGAATGATAATGCATTGAGCTGATGTCTTAGTTTGCTGTTACTGGCCATTATCTGGAATTACTTCAGCATTTGGAATAAACAAAATTCTAGGGGGAAAAAAAAATCAGCTGCAACAAGCTACTGTATACATGCAGAATGTGCTTTATCCTGTCACTTCACAGATTGCCAGCTGCTACCACTGCATTTTATGAAGCATACAGTTAGAAATGAAGAATAAAGTGGTTTCTTTTGTATAACTTGTTCTGCCACCACCCACCACCCCCTACCACCCTCCACCCAAGTTACTGGAAGTGTTAGCCCTCAGCAGACAAAAAGGTTGGGGTTTTTTTTGATTTGGGGTGGGGGGGGGTTAATGATAACATTTACTTATTGTTTCTGTCATAGTGTTAACTGCTTCACTGATGATTGTGTAAGCAGAAGCATGTGATTGATTAAGCAGCACTGCCAGCTTTGTGGCACGCAATGGCATGTGCTGTCTTTGGCTGCACTGCCTTTCAAAACTTTTGAGATCTTTGGGACAGGGACTTCTTTGGAGAGTACTTTGCAAACAAAAGAAGGCCTTGAGCTGGGCTGAGGTACACCTCAAGCTTCTGCTTTGCTAAAGAGTAAAATGAAAGCAGACTGACTTTAAGCTTGGGACTGAAGAGGGGAAGAAATCACAGTCCCTTGCAAGTGAGGGTTAAGTCAATACGACATTCCTGAATCCTTTATCTCCTCCTGGCAGTTGTGTTTTCAAGCTGTCTGTACTGTCACATCTCAGAGATTGTAAGTGGTTTTGCTACACTTTCCACCTACATTTCTGCAGCAGATACAGGGATCCTTACTTCTGTCACCCATTCTCTTGTGTATCTTTGCCACAGCCTGACAGCTCATGTGATTGTGTTTTTTGTACCGCCAGCATGTACAGCTTTCTCCTTTTCTCCTCACCCTGGACCAATTCGTAGATGTTCCATACAGTCTGATAAGGAACACCGTGTACTGCAGCAAAGATTTCCAGTAGCATCTGACAAAATAAAATTACCCACAGTACTTTTACGAAAAGAATCTAAGGAGTCCAAATGCAACTGAACTATCAGCAACAGACATTGTTTTCAGAAAAGTCAATCTAAAAGGGATGTTAGTTACTTTTATGGAGAGAACAGTAAGCATATGATTTAAATTTATATCAAAATTATTGGATTTGTGTTACTTCCATTCTCTTTCACAATTTCATATCTGAATGAGAAAGTAGCCACTTTTCCTGTTACTGTCACTAACGTTCCCCTGCTTAATAGCTGCCTTATCTATCATCGATAGATAAAAAAACAACTGGAGAGTTGTTTTGTTTCCAGTGATCCTAGTAGGGCCTTTAACACCTTCAAACTTGATCTGATATTTTTTACTTTTGTAATATCTGCTGATTCTTATCTGGAAAGATATGCTGGCCAAACCTCTGCTGTGGCCCCTACCTCTCACCTGCTGATGAATTTGTTTGACAGGCGTGAATCTGTCACAAATCTCCTCTTTCCTTCAATGATCATTTTGGTAATCTGATTTATTAACAGTAATCTTTATAGTCATACGGTGTTTATGTAAGAGAAAAAGATGTAGCGAGATGCCTTCAGACAAAAACTTTCAAACATTAATGTTCTGTGTCATGTTTTTACTGTTCGTCTTCTGGTGAAGACTTTCACACCCATATCAAACAGTAAACATTTCTCTCCAGCCTGCTTATAGCTTTCTTTTCAGCTTGAGTCACAACCCTGGAAGCAAAAGCAACTAGAACTTCGTCCGGTCACTAGGTGGGACCCGGTCCTGCCTGGGAGAAGCACCTACACTCATTTTAAGCATTTTGTTTTGATTACAGCCACTCAGAAGTGACACTGTCATGACCAGGTCCCTTAAATTCACCACTGATTAAGTGCATCTTCACTTGTTTTCCTGGCCCTTGTCTAGCAACTGCTCAATGGTGACAGCTGCTGCTGCAGTCAAGGTCCATAACCATTCTTAACCGAGTGCAAAGTCCTACTCCTTTCAAGTAAGCAGCGTTTTCCTTACAGCCTTTGTTTTAGCATTTGTTCAAACAAGATTTTCTTTAAGTTAATGTTTGCTGGCTAGTTTAGCTTAATGCCATCTGCTATATCCTAAATTTAATTTCATATCTTCTCTCCTTTTTACAAAACCTCTCTCCATACAGTATAATTTTCTAAGACAAACTGGACTCCTGAACACTGGTCCATCTACGCCAATAGAGTAACTAATAGTGGCTAGTACCAAAGATGCATTTAGATGGCAAAACATTCCCACCTGTACAAATCCAGCCACAAAGGAAATTCTTCCTTGTTCCTTGCAGACAGAAGTTGCTTTACACCTTGATGAACAAGACCTGTTTTCCTATCCTGTCTTGAGTAACTCTGGATCTCACCATTAACCTCTTTTTCTCATGTTGCACCATGGCCAGCCTTCCGAGGCCTGTGAGCAACCTACTAAAATCTTCATGATTTCAGAGTCCCCCAATATGCCCTGCCTCCCTGCGACCCAAAAAACCCCAAGCTCTGGAAGTAGGTCACATGCAAGAGGGATCCCATTGCTCTCGTGTAGGATGGCGCTGACATGAGCTGGGCTTGCCCAGATGGGGAGCTGGGTCTGGAAGTGACCCAGCAATGTTGGCTGCATCAGCCCTTACTTTCTCTCACCACACACCCTCTGCCACTGCACGCAGTGTAACAGGATTTATCAAAAAGGTTATCTTAAATCTTGTTTTACAGAACTTTCCTCTGGAAAATTTGCTGAACCCACTGAATTATTTGCGTAGGATGTTCAAAAGCATTCAGTAGGTTTGGGAGCACAAATCCTCTTGTTGTTCAATACTATTGCTCTTTTGCCTGCTGCCAGTTTAGTCCTTCAACAGCTCTCCTCATACTACATTCTTCCTCTTGCCTCACTACCTTTTTAGGATGTAAAGCCTATTATTAGAGATTTTTAAAGCTTTTTAACCATAAATATTAATTGGAACATACCATCTGGTTCAGTGACTCTCTCCAGTTTTGTGGCAATTGTGCAATATGAATCACTGCTAATCAGTTGTGTTAACTCTGTACCTAGCACCCAACTTGCTGGCCAATTTGCATCCAATTTACAGCTCAACCTGCTGAGCTCCCCAGAGCTGACCATAATGCAAATCCAGTAGCAGCTTCCTTGAGAACCTGACATATCTCCTGCCCAGGTTTCAACTGAAGGGTTAGTTGGGAACCCTACCAGAGACTAGAGGGAGAGAGGGCAGGAGGAGAAAGACAGACAGGGAGAGGAAAAGCTGAAACTGGCACTGTCCCAGACCAGAATGTGGGCATCACATTCCGCTTAGAAGCAGAGATACCAATTATTAACAGCAGCGACAGCCCTACAGCTAGCGTTTGCCCGAGGTGAAGAAAATGGACCTGAAGGAGAGTGAGTATAATGGTCCATGGGCCTCCAGCAAACCAGAAGATCAGATTTTTTCCCATCAGAAACCACACGTATGCAAAGACAGTATGTGTCACAGCAGGCAATAGCAGTGTGATCCTGTACATCTGCAAATGGTATCACAGACTCTTCACAGAGTTTAAACTAACTGGACTGCTAAAGCTGGGAGGCGAGTAAGCAATATCTGACTTTGCACTAAAATAAGGATCTCAGCTGGATGCTTCTTGGAGATGTCGGCTGCAAAAGAGAAATAACTGACCTTGTACAGTAGTTCTTAAAAAGACTGTTTTTTCAGATAAAAGAAATTAACAGGACTAACACATGGGGTAACGTCAGGATTTAAAGTCTCATGCTTATGCCTAGTGCAACCAATTTCAAAGGCACGTAATGACAGGAGAGTTTCATTACAGCCATGTAATAGTGACAGCTGGAATTAAGGTCACCTAAGTATTCCCATTCCTACTCCCCGCTTTCAATTGTCCATAATTAGCTTCCTAAAACTTTCACACGGCCATTGAAATTTTGTCCACTTAGGGAGGAGATCTTCTAACTTTTGGAGAGAAAATCAAGTTTGGAGAGAAAACCATTTGGGCCAATATCCAGTTAAGAGCTTTTGTGTGTTGTTTGTAGTTTGGTTTTTTTTCCAAAAAGTATGCTTTTCCCAGGAAAACAACTCCACGCCCTCTGTTTTTTTAAGCAATACTTAGGGGTAAGGAGCTGAAATACAGGAGTAAATAGTTCTTAGGAAAATAATAGTTTTATGAAATCCAAGGAAGATCAATAGTGATGGATTCAGGTTACAAGTGCCCAAATACCATCAACCACGCAAGTTCAGTAATGAATTTGGATTCTCCCTTTTGACAACACCATGTTCTAAACAACTTCTCTCTTGACTGGCCAGATTTTGATCTCAGTGACACAAGTTCACATCTTGAATCACTTCATTGATTTAATTACCTGTAAACAGTGCAGTAATTCGGGATTGTGAGTCTATAATTAAGATAAGATTCTACCCTTAATCACACAAACTATCGATAACTGCCCTTCATTTAATTTTTAATTCCTTTTTCCAGTTCAGGTTCACATCCATTTTTCTTGTGCACATTTTATAGCTTTTCTTGCCACACACTGGATCTGACTTAGAGTTACTTATTTTGTGGATGTGGGGTGTCATCTTATGATTTTTGTGGCTTTGTTCATGCTTATGAGACCTTCTGCCTTGGTGAACCAAGAAAAAATGAAAAAGAAAAATCAGCTTGTGTGCCTATTACTGGAGAAAATTATGTTGTATTGATAAGTTAAAGAATCAATGAATTTGAATGATTGTTGAACTTAAGATAGAGAAAAAGTTGGATATTAGGCAATTTGTTAATAACTAACCATTTCATCCTGGAAATTCATGCTATTTATGTAGAGCACACTGATAGTTTGAGATCTTACAGGTAAGGAAAAATACTAAGCTACAGCTTCATGCACTACACTGCATCAACTCACACTAGCATTTAAAAGTACTTCATATTTTCCTCAATATTTGTTTAGTTCCCTGTGCTGCTGTGACCTGTGGAAACAGGAAAAACTGGAAACAACAGTTAAAGCAAGAAAGCATCTCAGTTTTTAAATCAATGCAGCATATCCCTATGCCAGTGGTCTTTTTCTTCTTTTGATTTCAGTAGGAATTTGTGAAAAAAAGCATCACAAGTGAGAGCCAAGTGCTTTCTGTGAGTTATTTCCTCTCTCAGTGTACAGCATTTCACCTATATCTTTAAGGCCACACCTGTATACATACATACTGACAGTCAAGTGTGCTGTCAACCTCTAATTCCAGAGCTAAATAAACCAGTCACCACACCGCCATCTTGGCCACTGTTACATTGCCATGTTTCCCAGCTGACTGAATTACTGTGGAAAGATGCTTTTTGCGTTGTTTCTAGCCCCAGTCACCCATAGAGGGCACCCTTATTGTACCATGTTAGTGCAAGGACAATGCTTCCTATTTGTGAGAACCATTCCCTTAAAATAAAGCTTGTAAAGCAGAAGTTGTCAAATGCCCTAAATTTATTTTAGGAATTTTTTCTCAAAATGCTCCTTAATTTTAAAGATATTTTTTACATCGCTAAAAGATTTTTTTTCCATTTTACAATATTATTTTGCAGAACAAGAAAAAAGGGAGAGTATTATTAAAAAGACTCTAAAAAGCTTCATTTAAAAAGCTTCATTTTTCTGGCTTTTGTACTATAGATGTGGTTCTAAATAAAATTGCCTTCAGTGAAGAACAAGAAAAACTTTCAATAAAAGTTCTGTTCTTTTCACCTCATATCTGTACTAAGCAAGTACTTGAGGGAGCACATAGAGAGTCTAGGAATGCTTGGGTTTAAATAAGGACTTACATTTTAAATTTTGGGCTCCATATATGAAAACACTACCAAATCTCTTTTGAAACTTATTACAACCAGTAACATTCTTACTCAGTTTGTTCTGGGTGCTGCAAGACTCTGAAAAATCCTTGGAAAGACTTGGCTGCTGCAGCTACCATAATTTCTCTTTCTGTGATCTGTCCAATCT